CTCTATGAAATTGGGATGATCATATAACTCAGAGTACTGTAAGAACTGTAATAAAACAGATTATATTACTATTTAATTAATTGGAAGAGGGAGAAAATATAATAAATTGTAGGCTGGTTTAAAATACTTGCAGAAATTATAGATGACCTTTTAAAGATAACTTCTGAAGATTATATGATCCACTGATAATTTCCACATAGCCATGATTCAATGCTCAAAATGGTATGTGACAGTCATGAGAAAACACTGTTCAAATTAGTAAAACCAAGGTGTAATCCTCTTTAGATAACACTGCACAGAAATGTTTATTCTAGAATGCTTCTCATGGTTCAGAATGGGAAGACCTTCGGTGGCTAAAAAGATCAATGCTTTCTTGTTGAATATAAGTGCTTCCAGAAACCTTGTGGTTCGAAGGAAGATGTCTGAGATAACATCGAAGTCGTTGCTAAATTTATTGATGACAAAATAAGTGGCAGCTTTGTATTTGGAATAAGAATGCTTGCTGCTATTTAGCCATTTCATTATAGTTGGAAGAACAATTGTGCCCTCTCTGTGTACCTTTGATATTTTTCCACTGTGTTCTCTGGAGCGGTAAAAACCAGGCCTGTTACCAAGCTGTTTAAGTTCCCCTAATAAAATCGTACACTGAAAGGTTCACAATCAAGTAGCCTTACTACGGTAAACAATGAAAACATTTACATTTTCCATAATCCTTTTACAATGTCTAGCTTTTATTCACTGATATATATTTTCTTACTGCTTCTGGTGAATTTTTTTTCAGAATTGAAAATTCCTTTCAGAATTAAAAAAATTCTGATGTTTTTTCAGAATTTAAAAAATTTATGATGCTATCAAAACATTCCATTTTGATACGTTTGGAATAGTGTTTAATTTTGATTTGGAAATGTTTGTTCTTAATTTTGAAATATTTAAAAGGCATACAATTAAAAGGTATTATTTTAATGCAAAATTTATGAAAGCCATATTAAAATTGACCTAAAATATAGTCCTTTGAAGAAAAATTGGAAGCAAATTTTTTTCCTGTTTTAGTCACAAGTTTGATTTCAAAATCTCAAAGCCCTTCTGGAATTGTATATTTATTTTTTGGCACAAGTCTGATTTCCAATCATTTTGTAAATTTCATTCTATTCTAAGACAGATCTTAAAAGAGAACGTAAAAAACACCCCAAACACTCCATGTGGGCTGCATGTTGAATCATTATTGGAAAACGTAGGTAAGAATTCTGTTGTACAAGTAATTTCAGTTAACAAGAAACATCGATTGTATTTTAACAAAGTAAGCTCATGGTTTCAGGTTGCTTAACAGCTACCGTAATGTGGGAGGTTGGACCTGTCCTGCAACCATAGTTATGGGTCAGGAAACCCAACAGATAATCACAAATAACTTAATATTAACTAGTTTCATCTTTATTTAAGAGCTGATAATTGCTTAGCTACCTAAAAGTAAGTGGCATTATAAGTACTGCGATGCTGTTACTTTACACACGTGAAAGTTGTTAGTTCTGTAAAGAAAAGGGATTAACAGAAAACGTGAGAGAAATCAAAGACAAAAAAAGACCTGCCACTTTCTTACTCATTATAGATCTCTGCAAGTGACAGCCCATGTTTAAATAACTGCCTTTTAAAACTTGCACTGTATTTAGGATAAAATAACTTTTCATGAACAACTTACAGAACAATGATCTGGAGCTTCTACGAAGAAATGCATACAGTTTAAATGCTCAGCATTGGTGTTTCTTCTGCAACACACTGTATAAAAGTACACCTAGAATTCATCTAGCCCAAAATATCATTGCAGGATATAACTCTCCCTTTTTATGCTAAAAGAAATGGGATTTTACTTTATGCTGCACTCAGGATGTAGCAGTGCATCACTTAGTATTACTCACTCACTGCTGAAACAGTGGTTAGTGTATTCAAGCCACTTGAGAGATTACTAACAAAACATAATACATGTTAAGTTTGTCTCTTTGATGTAGAACCAGATGTGAATGTTACGAAAATGGTTTTGAAAAGTTAAACTGCCTAAAGGGTAATCAATGCTATCAAAATGCAATTGTGTTTCATTACATTTTCATTTCCCACTTGAAATAAGAGTAAGCAATTGCATGTGCAATTTATTAGTGTGTTGTCTTCTTCTAAAGGTCTTTTCCAACTTTAATGATTCTGTGATCCTTAATAGCTTTAATCAGGATCAAGAGCTGTCCATAGCAAATTCTCTTGTCTTCTTGTGTCCAGGAAAATTATTTACTTGTAAATTCAGTTGTATAATACTGAATTCAATTATTAAATTTCTGTGAAATTCCATTCATTTTGAAGTATATAGATGAAAAATGTACATTTCATATTCGTCCAAACATTGTATATAATGATGGTTTATAAACACAAGCTTGATGCACAGCAGTTGCCTAATCAAAACTATCATTAAACCGGCTACATTAAAAATGACACAAAGCATAAAATTATTCATTTTATCTATAGTTAAGATGTGTTAAATTAAAATGTTGGGCAGTACACACAACATGGAAACAGAAAACTATACTACTGTAACCCAGATTAACACTAATAGAGATTAAATTTCAAGGCAAGAACTGTGTCTGTTCTGATTTTGTACGGTGTCTAGCTTTACTTACTTAGTAAGTAATACCATAATAACAATCACGAAGAATGCATGCTTTTAACCTTTTGCTTTTTAAAGTCAATGATGCCTTGTACTACTTTATCATTCTTCAGGAAAATAAATTTTAACCACTACTTGGAATTATAATAAATACTACCAAGAACTCACCAGTCTTCCACGGTTTCAATATGATTATAAAGATACAGGGTGTAAAGGGTAAACACTCCATTTACCGAATATGATTTAATACTGATCATGTAAAAATCTTGATTTGTGTAATATCGCAATCACATGATAAAAGTGTAAAGTGTTGGTGATTGTTATTAAGAGATGAGATCAAATTTCCTGTATCGGGTAAGTGTGCATATGTAGTTTGGGTGGGTTTTTTTTTTTTGCCATTACTGCAAAACTTATTGCTGTGGAAATTGCTGCTCACCCTGGCTAGCTTATAGTGGGGTTTTTTCACTGTTTGGAGAGCACGTACAGTCATTACAACTTGCTGGCCAGTTCAGATTTCCATTACCAGCAGATTGAACCTCTTCTTAACTAATTCTATGGTTGTGCATATTTTGCTTTATAAGGCACTGTATCATGATTTTTGTTGTGGGAAAGGATATGCAGGTTTGAGGTTCTTTATTTTTTCCTGAGTATTTTCCACAAAGGTCATTTCACTTCCAATTTTCCATACAATTATATAATAGAGGTAATAATGCTTCTATGATATTTGCGAACATAATAAATGATGTAGAAAGTCATTACTGTGGAGAAAATACGGACAAACTAAAAGTCATAATTTCCTTAATTGCAGCAGTTTCCACCCAAACTTTACTTTAGACTTAAGTTTTATATTTTTTAGGAACATCTAATACTGCTCATTACTCACTTAGCATGCAAGATATGTTTGGGACTTTAACCCTATATATTAAGAAGATCATATGTTTCTTTCTCGGCAGTAAAGCACTCCACTCCCACTCCTATCAACAACAATGAAAGTAACACAAATGTTAAAACCAGGGTGAAGCTAACATTTGCTTTGCCTTGTCTTCTGGTCTCTTTCCATCCATCTACAGTGCGTTTCCATTCACTCTCAACTTACTGAAACATAACTTTAAACCAAGATGCATGAGGAATAGTAACTATCAACAATACTAAATACACAAGACATTGAGAAAGACATTTTGTGTGCTTATATCAGATGTAGATGAACACTAGCAGTTGTGTCTGGTGTCTAAGTCACCTTCTGCGTCCACCTGGCAGACAACAAATTCAGACATAGAAATGGGTAAGAAAGCAACCACTTTAAATTAAACATAAGGCCTAGAATTCAAAGGGAATTACCATGAATTTATGATATTTGTAAATGCAAAACATATTAAAATTCAATGTACTGTCTTCTGATTCTTCAATGAAAAATGGGTTGTTTAAACATTTATTAAATGCGGGGTAAAAGAAGTTACTTTTATGAGAACGTGCTGATGTTTCTGAGATTGAAAATAAAAGAGAGAGAGTATTTTTAATAAAGATTCCATCCCCAGCTG